CCTGCTGAATGGTGTTAGGGGTCATGTCTGAATTAGGTGTTGGTGGCACAATTTACAAAAAGGGCAATGAGAGGCAAAGCTAGTAGATCTACAACTGAGGTCTCAATATACATTTGCTTTGCACATTCCTGTGAGCAAGCTGCTTGGAGGAGCTATGAATTAAACCAGAAATAGTCATGGTTTAAAGCTGAGAAAGACTAGAACAAAATCAACACAGAAATGCTAACGCTGTGTTCTGGGTGGGGTACAAGAAATGGCACAGCAGAATTTTTCTGCCCCAGTGAGAGGAAACCAGAGTGTAGCTATATCCTATCACTTCTAAATCCAAAGCACTGCTGTATTCCAGTCTGAATACATAACTTAGATCAATTCCTTGAAGCAAACTGAGCTGCCAGGCCCTCATTCCTTGCATACCTATAACTCCTACTGACTGAAATGAGAGCGCTGTGTTATTCAAAGAGCACATCCCCTAACTGTTATCTCCTATGTTCATAAAAACAAAACCTATAAGAAGGAGATTCTGAAAGTCTGAGGGATGCATATGAAAGTATTCAGAAAAAAATTTAATCAGAGGGCGTCTACGGACACACAGTCATTATTCTGTCCCCATCCTAAGTAATTAGGAATCTTAAATGCATTGCTTCTATGGACACAATGTGAAAGCAATTTGTCAGCCTATGCTATCAGTGTTGGATCTTTGGCAAAAAAAGAACTGGTAAAAAAGACAGCGGAACACAAAGAACAAAAATTCTGATACACTAAAGCAAAATATACCTTAATTGGCCCAGAAATTACTTCTTGATTTAGGAGGTGCCTTTAAGGGGAAGGAAGTCCTTTTACCAACTAGAATATAGATGTGTTTATTGTATCCTTATGCAACTATCTAAAGAAGCATTTTAAAACTACTCTTTCTAGGCTTGGTTAAGTTTTCTTGCTGCTGCTCTTCAAGTACAAAACAGTCATGACTGACAGCACAAAACCAGTTTGTGTCTGGAGAAACAGAGAACTTACCCTGAAAAACAAAGAAACAAAGCAACCAACCAAACCAATCCCCCAAACCAGGACCACTACACATGCTCACTGTAAAGCTCTGTTGGCAGTATAAATAACTGAGCACTAGTGGCTCTCAAGTGCTATCTAGAAAAAAAAAACCAACCTTTTCTTGATACAGTTTAAAAAATTCCTGCTCATCTTCTGGGACTTCCTCTAGTGGAATTCGTCTGCCAACGGTACACAAGAGAAATTGATGAATATTAAATAATTTGGTTCCTATGAACATCACTTCCTTTATACAGACAGATTATCCATCTGACAAGAGACTCACTACATTTTCCACCTTTTCTTAATTTGTGATAACAGCTCCCAGATCAGCTACAGTTTGCTTCTAGAGCCACCTTCAGTTTTTAGAGGCATCTGAAATTCTGAAATATATATTTCTGAAATAGCAATGCATTATGTTTGAGGTCGCTAGAGCCACTTTCTAGGTAAAGGCTTGCAATTTTCTGTTTCCAAACAAAGGTTTTGAATTAATTAATATCTTACCCCACCTTTGGAATTCCAGGCTATATTTAATCAGCTAGGTATAAGAGAGAAAAACCAAACTATTCTCCTTATACCTAGGGTAAAGCACTCGGGTAGTATTGACAGTTCCTGTAAGTTTTGTTACATGCAGCTTCATTGGATAATTTTCTGCAGAATGGCTCCTATCTCTGAAAAACCCTCTCTTGACAAAACAAAGTTTTCCTCACATTACATGAATTTTGGTCAATAATCCTGTGACAGAAAAAAAATAAATAATCCCCTTGTCATCTTAATTTAGGTATGCTAAAAGTAATATTTAATAATTTTACATTTTTCAATATAGCATATATTTTAATAAATATCCATTCAGAGGAGCATCAAATTACCTGGCTTCAGCACAGGAGAGAGGACTTTTCACAGTCAGGACACTCCTGTCTGCAGTTAGTAGATGAAGAGGTGTGGTACTACTGTTTTGTTTCTTTATTTACAAAAGTCATAAGATGACCAACATCAGAAGTCAAAACAATTTAAGCAGAGACAATCAAGGCCACCCAGATTTTAAAAACTTCCACCGAGTGCTACACCTACAGTAGTTCAATAAGCAAATACCCAGGATTTTGAAGAACACCTGTGATGATCCACAATTCATTGCCAAAATAAATTTTTCCATGAAGTTTAGCGTGCCTGTAAGAGCTTTTCAGAAAACTCAAAAGGACTAGGAGGGCAAATAGCTAGCCCAAGTCATGAAAAGTAATTTCTGTGCTCTGCCAGATTGACTTGCAGCAGGCTGGAGGGGTGTAAAGAGAGACACAGAAAGATGCACCCCTCCACACTGCTGGAGGAATGGCCCACACAGGTAGGGCCAGCTGCTCCTCCTTGAACACTACCCAGCCAGTCCATGACACCAAACAAAAGGCCACTAGGCTGAGCTACCCACGAGATCCAAGTGGAAATGCAAACACATGTTGAATCCATGAGGAATCAAGGGAATGTGTTTTTTTTTTACCCTTGGGCAAAAACAGTTCTGAATAAAATATTTTTTAAAACATGGAGAAAAGGGAAGATAACAAGAAAAAGTTGCCCTACTCTACACCATGTTGGTACCCAAGATAAACCAATTGGACCAGCCAATTACAGCTATAATGGAGGTGTGATGAACTCCTAACTAACTTGTGGGATTGCTTCTAGGCTCCTATGCTCCAGCCCTAAACCGTCACAAACCCTGAGGGTCTGCAGCATACATGTTGCTGGTAGGACCCCACCTTGTCATAAGGGTCATAAGAGCCTTGGAATTTGCCCATTCTCAGTAAGATTACAGCCATTGGGATATTCATCACTTCTAAAAACATTAATGATACAGAATCCAGGTAAATGTTTTTTCATTAAACAACTCTCTCCACTTCTTGGTAAAGGGGCAGCAGCAATCAAATACATCGACACTACACCAACAGACTGAAACAGTCCTGAGCCTCCACCTGTATTTGTCAGAGACAGATGTAAAGCCACTTAGTAGATGTTTGGTATTCTTGCCAAGTGAGTGAAAAGAGGTCCCACTGTTGCTGCTGAGCTGACAAATACACAAATAAATGAATATAAATAAAAAACTAAAATAATAAAAAAAAAATTAATAATCCTGTAGAGCTTTATAGGGTCTTCATATATTTATAATCACAAAACTTTACAAGAAACCCTTCTCATCCCATATGAATTTTTATTTACACTTCTGTGAAGCCAGGTTGGTAGACATTTGTTATCTGTTACTTACTTGAAAATATTTCCTTACTTGTGCAATTGTGACTACAAGTACACACTTCTGTATAGCAAAAAGGAATGAAAATATAGATTACTTGCCTTACATATAAATCTGCATGATACTTCTTTCCATTTAGAACTCCCAGCAACGTTGGATTCTCATTATTTCTAAAATTGAGGGTAGAATCATAGACTGCAGAAACTACAAGAAGAGAAACAGGTTATTTGATTACTGTAGTAACAGAAAAGAAATAAGTAATTCTTCCTCAGACAAAGAGCATATTCAAATATGAAGTCATCAGCAATAGCACCACAGTTTGAGGTGTCACTAAGGTAAAGATGATAATGGAATATTCAACATGCAGGTTTTAAGAGGTCAAAGAACCAGTGATCCTTTTAGGAACTGCACCAGTAGAACTGAAGGTTTTGCCCTCCAACCTTGTCTCCTTCCCTATTAGGTGCAGAATGGGAACATTAGGAACACATTACAGTTTCTGATAGTTCACATATCCCAGACATCCTAGGAATCAAACAGCTGAAAAACTATGAAAACTGTGAATGACAAAACTCCCCCCCCCCACCTGTGTCAACAACCAGGCTGATACACTCTGTATACACAATGTGAAATACATAGAGTTTGAATAAGAACGGGTAAAGTGTGCGGGAGAGACACCCTAGAGCAAAAGGGCTTAATGCAACTTTGAATAGCTTGGGTTCAAAATAACATCCCCTTCATGTCCACTATTTGATAACTGAGGCACTAGCTACAGGGCCAAGGCAAAAATATAATAACAGACCAAGTCTTGTGTGAGTCCGGCCACTGCTATGAAGACATGCATCTCTGAGGAACAGAATATTCAAGTTCCACAGAACAAAACTGCAACCGAACTTTCAGCCTTGAGCAAACACTGTTTTAGCAGTTCAGGACTTGTGCAGTACAAGTGTTTGCAAAGATCATTCACAGTTAAACTAAGACAGCATTAACAAGCACTTCCTACAGAAGTGTACACCATTTAAAAATATATTAAGTGTTTCAAAAGAGTTTCTTTTAACATAGCCTTAGAGACACTAGTTTCCTGATATCATCCAACTACCAGTGAGCAATTAACTTTCCTGCCACTGAAAATGACTGTGCATCATGGTATGAGTTCCAGGAGATCAATGTCAGCAATAGTTTCTTTTTGTGTTTCACAAAAGAAACTAACACATACTTCACATATAACTTGCTGTATCGGAGGTTTCCTGCTCTGCAGTTTTGCAATAATGAACACTGTGATGAACCCTTCCTGTGAGAGCTCTCAACCCACCTAAGAAAGCCCTTTATTACGCAGAACAGATTTGCTTTGGTTTTCGAAGCCTCTCTAGCTAGGAGAAATACAGCTTGGTCACGACATTCAACCCCTAGTAAACTCACCACAACCTTTGTTATTGCAAAACAGAATTTGTAGTGCAGAACAGAACAGCTTGGCTTCAGAGCTGCAAGGAAATCCTGAAAACAGAAGCAAAAGTCCTGTCTCTGCATACAGACTGTTATCCTCATTAACAACTCTGTTCTCTTCGTACTGTAGTTGGGTTTTTAGCCCAAACTCAAAACTACAAAACATAAGCCAAAATCTACTTCAAGCACACTACTCTCCCTATACAATAAAAGAAGGAAAATACTTATGAATAAATTATCTACCTCCATTTTTAAGGCTCTTAATGTAGAAGGATTTGACTAATCTACTCTAATTTACTAATCCAGTGTAACTGAAGGAAGACAAGAGCTCAATTTAGTTTATACAAGGTAAGCTCCTTAACTTATTCTTTAATAGCATGAGATTATTTTAATGACAACAGGGATGTAATAAAGGAAGGTATGATGTATACAGCACTTGCTCTTTTGTCTTTTAGAAGATGCCTATGTTTGAGTTTTGATGTGAATCGTGTGCTTGTTCAGACACACTGGAAGATGCTTCTCATGTTCTGAAAAAGCTTCTTCTGACTTGTCAGGACCATCTTTATGTGTTGATGGCCATCCACAAGAGCTTTCCATCACTCCAGCCAAAAAATATTCCATTCCACTTTGTAACTAGACTGTAGTGTGATATTCTGTCCAGTCCTTTTTAATACCATATTTGGTGTGAAGCAATGCCAAATCCAAGGCAATTATATATCATATGCAGGACTCAAAAGACCTCTGTTACACCCAGATATAAAAGTACTGAAGATTTAAGCTTTTCTATTTTGAAAGTTCAGGATAAGAACAACAGTAGAAGCCACACAGGAAAAGGCTGTATGGAATTAAAATTTGCCAGAAAGCTTCCACAGCCAAAGCAGTACTAGCATGCTGTGTGACACATCCACTAATTGTGTACTTTATAATTAAGTAATTAAAACTGGTCATCTCATTACTATCTCACTTACAAGATGAAGAGTCCAGAAATTTCATATTCTAAACCAAGCAAAAAAATAACTCCACAGTATCTTGAAAACATTGCGACTGTCTCGTTCTCAGACTAATTTAGGCAGCATTTGAGAAGGTTTTCTTCGACTGCAAAATAAAATAATTTAGCAAAGAATTTATATTAAGACATATTTTCCATTAAAAGCCAAAACCAATTCAATATTTCGAAGCCTTTTCAAAGGCTTAGAACAGATCATAACTGAAAACAATTTTTTTCCAGCTGAATTGCTATTTTCTGACAAAAAAAGGCTAGGTGTTTTTGTTTGTTTGTTTTCTAATCTCTACCCAGCTTTTTTTAGTATCTTTAAATTTTGGTTTCTTCTACAGCACATTGATGAAAAGCTATTTATTAAAGAATTTAAGATTTAGTTTCTTATTTTTGACCTAAGAAATTACTGGATTACATATCTAGAATGAATTTCTCTTATTTTGACTATCCTCTTGAATTTCATGCATCATTTTGTGGACACAGTGGACTATGCCAGAATTATCATCTAACAAATCAACCTACAGGCAATGAGTATGCCTGCATACAGCTTCATACTAGCACACAATGATCTGAAGTGAAAACTGAGAAAGGGAGGGGAAAATACAGTGAAATTCACTGTATTGCTGGTATGACAGCTACCCGGACACAATAATTTAATTTAACATTTCATTGCTCTGGTCAAAAGTCAGTCCTCTCAAACTTGGTAGCATGCTCAGGAGGATGACCAGGAGCCTCACTAAACCCTTCAAAAAAGCAAAAAAACAGGACGAGAGTGCAACTTGTGGGAAAAAAAGTCATTGCAAAATCCCCATTAGTCACCTTGAACTCCTTGAGAACATCACTGGAATTTATTCTCATGCATCCCCTCTGGGAGAGTAGTTCCTAGCATGCACAACTAGAGGAAAAGGTTGACAACTTAGAGTTATCTACAATTCATCCTGAAGAACAGTTTTAAACACAAGTCTTAACAGCTGAAAGTAACAAGTAAGAACACAAGAATAGCTGAAAGCAACTGCCTGATATACAGCCAGGCAATATAACTAATAGTTAAATATATCTTTTGCAATATTTATTACATTTATTTTTATTGTAAGTAATGGAAGAGTGTTTTAGAAACATACCTGTATTTTCATTTGCTTCCATGAACAGTACAGTACAGGTAGCTAACCCTGCAACCTATCAGCAATTTATTAAGACAGCAAACAGCTTCTAGAAACGAAGCTCCTGAGGACTGTGTCTGTACTATCAAAATGGGACAGATGGCCACCAATAAATATATCAGAACAAGGTCAGAAAATACTAAAAACCGTCCTTTAAGAATCAAACTGTGTGCAGAGATCTTAATTTGTGAAAGTTGGTGAAAAGAATCCCATTATCACTTATGAAGGAAATTAGTTAGGTGGGAAGGTTCTTGTGATTTTGTGTAAAAGATATTTTATCCAAATATATCTGCTTATGATGACAGATACGGCACCCACTAATATGGAGACAATTTCCTGTGTATACACATTAAAGAAACTCCCTCTGAAACTCCCTTTTTCAAAACAGATGGAGCTGCCTGCTTTCGAGAGACACAGAACTACTGCACCAGGTAGCATTAAGAGTTGATACGAAGTTTCAGAAAAGACCAAGGCGTGCTGACTGCTATTGTGGATGAATTAACTTAACAGCCACAGAAACCAGCATCCATCCATCCTATGTACAGCCTTAGACAGGCTGAATCACAACCTTGTCAGGAAGGAAAAAAGAAGAAGTGTTCCTGTAGTGTATCAGATGAATACCCAAAACTTCTTATAAACATCACTTAGGTTCTAAATGGTTTTCTTTTGAAAGATTTTTCCACAAATCAGCTCTTGTCCACAATCACACCATGTTTTACCTGCTCTACATGGAGTAGCAAAAAGAAAAAATCGCCATCAAAACAACCTATCCCTGATTCTCAGCTCAGGGTATTGAAGGTCACAGAGTTTTGACTCAGCTCATCTTCAGTGTCTCAAGTCTATGTCCCCCTGTCCTCAGCAAAGCAGTTGCCCTTATTCTAATGGAAAGGTTAAACTGTGCCCCTAAGGGAGTTACTGGATGCTGCATATAAGTTAGCCCTGCTTGCCATATCAGAAAAGATCCAAGCTATGCTATCCTTTTTGGAGGTGGGAAGTTGTGGATGCTTGATAAGCTACAACAGTGATATCAGAGCCTGAGTTCCAAGACGATATATAGAAGAAATATGACAGATAGCAAGACAGCTGACTGCAAAGCCTTTTACAGCAGCTATCCCAGATATGCCACATTAAAACATGTCTTTAAAGACAAAAGAAGTTTTGACATTAGCTTCAGTCAAGCTAGAACATTTTCTTCTAAACCACCATTCACTTTGTCTTCCTTAGATACTGGCATTCTAACAGAAGACAAATCTACCAAAACCCAAAGATACAGTAGTATACTGGCTACTCAGTGTGGTCTTTCCTTTGCCCATGAAGTACACAGCAACAGACTTCGATGGATTGTATTAGTCAAAGAAAATCACTTTAAAGACCTGTGTGCCATATTCTTACTGATGGAACTTAAAAATTGGCAAGTGCAAGTAACCAGAAATAACCATGGGGTGGGGAGTTCAGGCAACATTAACAAAGAAAAATTTACTCGTGTTCTATAATGTAGAAATAATTGATTTATAAATTTTGCCCACATGTATCTTCAGTAAAGGTGTACTCCCCTCCCCCAGATCCACGAAAAAACTCTTCTAAAGAGTACATCTACACAGAAGTTTAAAACAGAATATTCTTTTGTTTTGAAATGAAGTTATTTGAGGCAGATATTTACCAAAATAAAATACTTAAGACACACTGCCTCAGATTCTCTGTTGAGGTATTTGCTTCACTTGGACTAGGACTGCTTAGTAAATACTAAGAAATGCTATCCTTTGGCAATAGGTACAAAACATGCAACTTGAGATCCCCCAATACAGACTGACAGTAACAGAAAACAAAACAAAAAATAAGCAAGTTGCCCCAGGACCTTGTTAGTAAAACCTAGCATTTAATTTTCACAGGCTAGCGGAAAAGAGGTCAGAAAGGATCCCAGGACTTTTCTGCTATAAGACATGCTGGAGGGAAAAGAAGGGTATGGCAAAGTGACAGCAGTTAGATAAAATTACCATTTAGCACTGTTCCCTGTGACTTTCCTTACCTACATTTCTCAAACACTGCACGGTGACAGCAAATCCTTTCGTTCGTGGCAGTAGGTGATACTTGAGCTTGGGCAGGCCTTTGGCTTCAGCTACCTTCATGCTAATCTGATGTTTCTGTTCTGTGAACCTTGTGCCCTCGCAATGAATCAGGAACTAAAACCAAGACAAAACTACAGTTAGAAAGCAGCCCAGGTCTTCTACATCTGTCTGACCATAAGCCTCTCTAATTCCCACCAACACAGAACAAAATTCCCAATGAATGAACACTGCTAGCAGGGACAGGTGTAACCACATACTCATTTAGGTAATTTAATTGCCCTGAAGTAAAACAAACAAAACCAGACAACAAACAGAAAAAAAGACCAAAAAAAGACCCTCTCAATTACCTCCACCCATCCAACTTACCAACCTTTGGTTTGAACTCTACCCTTTAGGCTTTAACATCTGGTGTGCTACTTGCTATCAGAATGACCTGATCTTTCTGAACAAGTCACTCCATCTCCAACAAAATGTTAGAAAAGACTCAGAATGTATCTCTTGTTGCAATTTTCTCACTGATGCTGAGGTGTTTAAGTGTCATGGCATCTAAAACTTGGTATGTGTCTGAATCAAACACATTTCTAAGAAATGCTTCAGTGTCCAGCTTACTTCCCCTCACTCTAGCCCATTTGCTTTCACTATGGCATGAGGACCACTGACAACTGCAGACAGTAACTTTCATGCCAATAACTGAGCTGGGAATACATGTAAGGCAGTAGATACACGATAACTGAACTATACAGTGTAAGTGCTCAGAAATGAACAATTACAGTTTTGCCAGTGGCAGGCAGGGGAGAGCAGACAACTTTGGAGACTTACTGCTTGCTCATCTGCTTTTTGTCAAGCCTGAAAGCAAACTAGCGCATCAGAGAGAACTGCCAATTGCACAAGCTAAGTACTCATAACCCACAGCAAAGATTTAACCAACAGAGAGACTGGAGAAAACTAGCCTAGCAGCCAGCTTCAGTTCCAGCTCATCTAAGAGCACTTTCACTCATGAATCACATATACAATCATAAACAGTGAGATGAAACATAGAGAAACTGATGAGAAAGTCCTTTTTTAGCTCCCTTAGCACGCTCTGTCTTTTCGCTACTGCGGTGTCTTGACTTTGTCACTGCACAAAGGCAAATTAAATCTCCACACTGCAGTAACCCCAAGTGTATATCAACTATATCTGTTCTCCTACGGGTACAGCTCCTTCTTAGTAATCTCTCTACAGCAGTATATAAAAGATGGTGCCTCACCAATTAGTGCTGAACTGCCTAGGTGTATGAGAAAGCATTCAACATTTTTTAAGAGCCACAGAGCACAAACAAACCCCTGTGAGAGAGATCGGAACTCAAAATCAAAAATTGTCCCTTTTGGTAGACAGCCATCTGCCTGGAAGTCATTTAATCATTATCCAAGCACAGAGCTTAGCTTTGATTGCTTAACACTTATTTAAATCAATGACAATTAGAAGGAAAAAAAAAAGCTTTGTTTCAAAGAATGAGAGATACTGGACATATATCTTCATTAGGAAACTGCTTCTAAAGCAATAGTTTCTGTAGGCCCTTGTGAAGCTGCTTAAGGTACCATTTCCTTAACTGAATCCCTCTTTTGCAATCACCAGCACATGAGAACTAGGATTTTTCTGATTACTGAGAAGAGAAAAATTAAAAGGCTTTTCATTCCCAGACTAGGAAGTGCCAGGCAGGCTCAATACTAAAAAATTATAGTGATGCAAAAAGTAGCATTTTCTTGTTACTTAAAGGTGACACTAATCTTTTCCCTGTGAGACAACTGATGGCTTCAGGAGCTACTTCCCTGACCAGGTCCTTACTTACCAGTATCGACCACTTCTACTGTGGAATGTCTGACCTAGTACCTTCACAGAATCAGAGGGAAATGGAGGGAGAGAATAAGAGTATGAATTCATTAATGAGTGAGAGGGTAGCTTAGGTAAAGAATGCAGCTAATGTGTTTCAATACAACAATGTCACATGCACCTCTTACACTGTCATGAAACCCTGCTTACCCCTCTCCAGCTTCTGTATTTAGAGGACCACAAAGTTTACTGAATGGATCACAATGGGGGTTGTTTTTGCAATAATATTCATAGGGTTCCATACCAAAGAGGAAGAAAACAGTTAAGACAGACTAGTACATGGGCAATTCAAGGGAGAATTTAATTGTTAGAGACTACTCTTCTGACACTGCCAGGAAGCTCATGAATCAAAGATCTCAGGAGCAACCTGGCAACTACCACATACTGTTTATGCTCTTCATTCCTCCCAAGCACTACAGGACCTCACACTCCACTTGTCAGTTGTCACTCACCCAAAAATTTTCAGGGTAGTCCCGGAGATTCAGCAACTTCTGCATGACTGTCTTCC